TACCAATCACTTTACATATGTCCAAAATTGAGCCTTCTGTATAACAAAGGAATGGTAAACACGTTGACATTACTAAACAGAGTCACGTACTGGTTAGAAAAAGAAATATGGCATCTTGCTGACCACTACTGACAGCTTTTCAATTTCTCATATTATTAAATATGATCTTTCAAACTTTCATCTTCATCATCTTTATGTTATCTACACTGCAGCTACAAGACTTATGGGATCACAGGGTAACCTTACCCTATACGACTCTATGGAATTGAACAATACTGTCTGACATTCGTTCAGACACAGGAGGCTGCAAAATGAAATAGTGAGAGCGAATAGTTACACAGGGGTAACTTGCCTGTGTATGGGACTCGGATACAGAACTAAGTTCTGGGAAGTGTCCTGTTTTCCCCCACATCTGAAATACTGTGCCTTTTATTAGGTTTCAAGAACCAGAAAAAATTGAAAGTACTGGAAAAGTAAGGCACCTGCTTGACACTGCAGTGTTATTTTCCTTACATGTGACTCCATTCACCATCTCTCTGTGCACAAATTCCAGATATTTTATAGTAACAATACACTATGGACAATACATGACGACAAATATCACAATTTCAAAAGACAACAGGATTGTCCATCTTACCTCTTCTAACTCAAAGGACTCCTTTGCCTGTGTTATAAGATTTGTTATTGAAGGATTAGGAGCAGGCAGTTCCTTGTCAGGTGTAGATGTGGGTGGATTTTTTGCGGTTAGGTAGTTCTCACATTCCTGATCAGTGGATATACTCAAATCTTTCAACGCAGAATCCGCAATTTGTGAAGAAATACATTCAACTGAGTTTATGGAGATTTCATCCTGTTTAATGCTGGTATCTTCATGCAAAATGTCCATGGCAACGCCATTTTCTTTTGGAAGGGTAGAAATATCATGACCATTCAAGTCTGTGACAACTGAAGTTGAGGCTTCCTCTTTAACTGTAGCAAGAGGTGAAGAATTCTTTTTGAACAGTTTCTGTCCCTTCTGTTCATTTTTACCTCCTTCCTCTTCATTATTCTTCCCTCCTTCATCTGGAGGTTGGACAGTATTGGCATCTCCAGATATGCGATTTCCACATAAGTTAAGTTTTGATAAAGTCTCCATGAGTCGAGCGGCAGTCTGGCTGGAAGCTCTGGTAAGAGGTGCCGGTTTGGGGGGATCACCAGTAGTAGGTGTTGTTAGAGACTTAGAGCTGCCTATTCGTTGGAGTGGAGTTCCAGAAACTTGAGAATATAATGAAGAAAATGCATTTGCAACATCTGTGAGAACTTTAATCTGACGAAAACGACCTGGTTAAAGAAAGGTAAATATTAAACTGAGCACAACTGAAAATCCCATAGTTACAATGTAAATTAATACAGTTGCAGATTCGTACATTGGAAAATATATTCATTAAATTGATTTATTAAAGTTGCAATCCAGAACAAAGATTTGAAAATCTTATAAATCGGAAGGGTATTTTATTATTTTCCACTCTTTAGCCACACACTTGCAGGTTTTTTTTTGTTTTTTATTTTTTTTTGGAAAGGGGGGGGGGGGATCTGGAGGACTGCTCTTTAAATTTGGGTATATTTTTTGTATTTTTACAGATAACCTCCAGGCAAAACACAAGTAAAACCTGTAACTGCAGAGATTCTTACAATTAAGTGCTAGAGCACTATTTTTTTTAATGGAGTTCTACTATTAAAGTGGTAGTAAAGCTAAAGAAGAAAAAAAAAAAGGCTTTCCCCTGCAAAGAAATATCATAAAGTGCTAGTATGCATTGCACAATAGCACATTATAAAAGCTTATCTCAAAACGAAAGCCCTCCTATGGTGGAGTTGTCACAGCTGCCAGGGCTTCCATCTTCCATCAGGTAAGAGCTCTTATACGCCTGTTGTCTTCAGCAGGAACTTAGAGGTGTCATCTTCCTCCTTTTTTGATTCACTGAATGTGGGTTTCTCTGTTTTTTGATGGTTTGGTTTTACTCATTTAAGAGGTTCTTTTGAGCACGGACTTTTGTATATAATTGATGCACTTTAACACTATTTAGTGCTACACTTTTTTGTTATTTATTATAAGCTTACCTGTAGGTTAAAAAAAAAAAATTTAATCACAAAAAAAGTTTACTACCAATTTGAAGCAGGGCTCGAACAGAAATCGCATCCTGGAGCCTGGGCTACACTGCAGCACAAGTCTTGCCTGGATTCAGTTTCCCAATGTGGCCCCCAACCAGTGGTCGGGCTGGCCAGTAACAGAGGCCATGGCTTTATGGCCTGCTGCAGTATACAGCACTCGGTATCCTGACTGTGGGCATTGCCCTTACAAGGCTTACATTTTCCATGGAACAAGCACCCTTCTCTGGGTGGACAGGGCTGTAATAAGCAGTCATTGACAGAGCGTATGGCTTCCCTTGCCTTACTCTCACTGCCCGCCAGCCTCAGATATCATCTTCCAAGATTGACAGCTGGGTTGCAGTTGAAGGTGGTGTTGTTTGATCTAGCGCCCTTTTACCACCGGTAAGTAGACGGGGAGTGTGGGGTAGCTGGCTAGAATGCTGGAATGGCTTCAGTTCCTATTATACACCCCGTCCCCAATAAAGAGGGAAACACACTTTCCTCCATCCCTCCCCAAGTGCAGGCGGAGCCCTCTGGTACACACTTCTCCCAGGCAAAGAACTTCCCTGAACCACCCCCCCCCCCCCCCGCACAGCCCTATAAGAGCCAGCTCCCAGGAGGACACTGCAGGCTCATCTCCCATCACACACAACAATTCCCCCCAAGAGAGCTCATGGAGAGGAGGATGCCTCATGTGCAGACTGGAGTCGCCAAGTCTTGCCACCTGCGTGCCAGCTGACAGCCCCACATCCAGCACAGCACCAACTTCCTCACCAATAACAGCAATGAAGTAGACACGATATGGTGGCACAGCTAGACCATAAAGGCCAGGATCCAGTACCAGCACTTCATCAACCTCACCCTGCATCTCAGTGAGTGACAACACTCTGCCTACCTGTACACAGGAGCCCCATCTCCACCATACCCGAACCCCATACCCCCTGTACAACACCACATCCTATTCACTGTCCCGATGCCCTCCATCTGTCTCACTGCCCCCCTCTTGTCCTGCTGCCCTCCCACCGGGCTACTAACTAGATTCAAAGCAAATTTGTCAAGCCCTGTATTAAAGATGTTTAAAATTACAGAGAGTTGTATTAATTTGTGCTCTGCCTGGAGTTTACCTTTAATCATTACTATCCTTTAATTCATGCAATATGTACATTAAGCTTTTAAGATTCTACTAACCAATTAAGAAATTAGAAGTAATTTTAAAGATATTCCCATATTTTTAATTACTATTCCTTTTATCTTAAAATTAGGAATCGTGAAGAGGTATATTAACAAGTTAGCCATTTTAAAAAACTTACCAAGTTTTAAAGATATATAAAGTGCATCTACAAAAATAAGAAAAAAAAACCTCAAATGTTAAATAACTTCAACCCAAGAAAAATCACTTATTTAGTGTATATTCCTTAGTCAATACAACTAGAATTCATACAGTTGTAAGACAGTTGTGTCTGACTGTAGACAAACCGTATATCTACAGTAATCTAGCAAGGTAACTACATCTAGTGTCCCATATGTACCGTTTTGGGGGGGGGGGGGGGTGGACCACAAACAAACAAGTTATTTAGAGAGTTCAGCCATAAATAGATCCTAAAAATAAGCCCCCAAATCATACATACAATCCTATTTTAGAATGCTTACAATGCTTACATTCTTATAAGCAGAATATTCCACTTAGCCTTTTTCTAGTGCATCTATTACTTAAAAAGGAAAAAGTTCACCTTAATAAATGCAGGTAAAAAATATGCCGTTATTTTTTTTTATTGGGAGCCTGTAAAGCATTGTACCCATGATCAGCAGATCGCGGGTGCAATACAGGGCTCTTGCAGAATGTCAGTGTAAGCTGTCTGCTAGTATCTCAGACGGGCAGGCAGTTACACACTGACAGGAAGCATCAATGAACTACCTAGAGCGCTTTCAACAGCGCCCTGTAGGGTCATTGAGAACTACAAGCCGACAGCCGCAAAGACTTTTAATTCTCCCATTCACAGAGCTCTGTAAATGCCTGGGCGTGTCTTTTTTTAAATTGTGACAACAGGCACAAAAAGAAGATCCCTGGCCTGCTTCCACAGCGGGGACTCGGTGAGGCATGGGGGCAGCTGTGGCAGTAACATCTTACACCCTGAATACAGGTTTAACATGTAACATGTTATAGAAGGTGAACTTATCGTTTAAACCTTAACATAAATAAGAAAAAAAAAAAAAAAGAAGAAGTGTTGTGCAAGTAAATGAGATACACTGTGGGCAGTAGTAATATTGCGTGTGACTAAGCAGGAACACGCAACAACCTTTTAAAATAAAAAACAAAAAAAAAAAAAAAACAAATTTCAGAGAAAAAAAAATGAAAAATCAAGTGTTAGCAAAATGCTAGGGTGATCAAAAGACATTTCCCATCCGTAAAAAGTCATACATACTTTACCTTTAACCCTAGTTTTATTTAAAGCAGCAAACAAAGAAGCTTTACAACCATAGTAAAGTCATTTTGCCCATTCATGAATTCCACTCAAAATCCATTTTTTTTTTGTTGTTTTTTGTAATCTGTCAATGAATCAGCATCATCCTCTGACTAATAAGGCAGGAAGCAAACTAAACCAAGATCTAGCATCGTACTCTTTTTAGGAGGTGCAGTGTGATAAGTGGCGTGTGGCATTGACGACGACCAGCTCAGAACAAGTCCTTTGGATACCCCCTCAGGGGCCAGTATTGAGACTAGGAAATCCTTGTGTGTTATTTAACAGAAAAAAAAACTGAGAGTAAAAAAAAAAAAAAAAAAAAGTTAAGCTGTTGCCCGCAGGGACCACTCAGGAGTCATCTCTGGGAAAACTGTTCTTGAATGTTGGGGTTTAAGCTCAAGCTGAAGGTTAGCGCACAGCTAAAGTTAGCACTATATCATTTGATGTATGCCATCTTCATATTAAAGTTGTTATGCTGTTAAGTTTTATGAATATTTGTATTAAATATACCCATATTTTTCGCTCCATAAGATGCACCTGACCATAAGGACGCACCTAGGTTTTAGAGGAGGAAAAAATATTCTGAACCAATGTACTGCAGACAGTACAGGAGATGACCAGAGACTACGGACGTACTCCAGGAGATGACCAGAGACTGCGGACGTACTCCAGGAGATGACCAGAGACTGCGGACTGCGGACGTACTCCAGGAGATGACCAGAGACTGCGGACGTACAGTCCAGGAGATGACCAGAGACTGCGGACACAGTGCAGGAGATGACCAGAGACTGCGGACACAGTGCAGGGGATGACCAGAGACTGCGGACAGTACACGACCAGGACTGCATGACCAGAGACTGCAAGGACACAGGGGACGACCAAGGATGCATGACAGTACAGAGACCAAGAGACTGCGACAGTACACAGTACAGGACTGCAGACAGTGACCAAGAGACTGCAGACAGTACAGGGGATGACCAAGAGACTGCAGACAGTACAGTGCAGGACAGATGACCAAGAGACTGCGGACACAGTGGACAGGGGACAGTGACCAAGAGACTGCAGACAGTACAGGGGATGACCAAGAGACTGCAGACAGTACAGGGGACGACCAAGAGACTGCAGACAGTACAGGGGACGACGACCAAGAGACTGCAGACAGTACAGGGGACGACCAAGAGACTGCAGACAGTACAGGGGACGACCAAGAGACTGCAGACAGTACAGGGGACGACCAAGAGACTGCAGACAGTACAGGGGACGACCAAGAGACTGACTGCAGACAGTACAGGGGACGACCAAGAGACTGCAGACAGTACAGGGGACGACCAAGAGACTGCAGACAGTACAGGGGACGACCAAGAGACTGCAGACAGTACAGGGGACGACCAAGAGACTGCAGACAGTACAGGGGACGACCAAGAGACTGCAGACAGTACAGGGGACGACCAAGAGACTGCAGACAGTACAGGGGACGACCAAGAGACTGCAGACAGTACAGGGGACGACCAAGAGACTGCAGACAGTACAGGGGACGACCAAGAGACTGCAGACAGTACAGGGGACGACCAAGAGACTGCAGACAGTACAGGGGACGACCAAGAGACTGCAGACAGTACAGGGGACGACCAAGAGACTGCAGACAGTACAGGGGACAGACCAAGAGACTGCAGACAGTACAGGGGACACCAAGAGACTGCAGACAGTACAGGGGACGACCAAGAGACTGCAGACAGTACAGGGGACGACCAAGAGACTGCAGACAGTACAGGGGACGACCAAGAGACTGCAGACAGTACAGGGGACGACCAAGAGACTGCAGACAGTACAGGGGACGACCCAAGAGACTGCAGACAGTACAGGGGACGACCAAGAGACTGCAGACAGTACAGGGGACGACCAAGAGACTGCAGACAGTACAGGGGACGACCAAGAGACTGCAGACAGTACAGGGGATGACCAAGAGACTGCAGACAGTACAGGGGATGACCAAGAGACTGCAGATCTTTGGGGATGGAGGGGGAGCGGGTACCTGAATTTGACAGGTACCCACTCCCACTTCTGCGGAGTTGTCCTCCCTTTAGTGTGGGCACCTGGCTGTGACAGCCGAGTGCCTACTGCGCATGCGCGAGAAGCGCAGCGCTTTGTGAATGGTGCGGCGTCATGTGTCCCAGAAAACGCCAAACCATGCATGCGCAGTGGGCACCCAGCTGTCACAGCCAGGTGCCACACTAAAAATGCTGGCGCAAGAAGACTGTACAGTGCTGGACCGAGGAACAGGTAAGGTTCTGCTGCAGAGAAGAACTGAGCAGCTGGTCTGGTATTCTGACACAGCAACAGTAAGAATACCGGTCCACCCGCTCCATAAGACGCACTGACATTTTCCCCCCTTTTTTGGATGAAAAAAGTACGTCTTATGGAGCGAAAAATACAGTATATACCATAGGTCATCTAAAAAGCTGGCAGGATTGTTTGAGACTTTTAGTTTACTCCACAAAGTATGCAGCAGATGCCAACAAATCCTGAAAATTTAAACTATAAATAAAACGCTATTTGTTCGGCAAAAAAAAAAAAAAAAACACACACATGTATGCATGCACACACATTAGCTGCACGTTTACCTGGCATAGTTTAGAGGAGAACTACAACCAGTGTACAACTTTAACGAGAAACTTACAGAACACAGAAGGTAACTGCTGATACAGAGGGGGGTTTACTGCTGGACAAACCAATGTTTTACATTATTTATTTTTTGCTGTCCAAAATTCACAAATGCAGCAGGACATTGGCCAAAACAGACTTACATCCTGCTACCAACCTAAAGATTTTTCTTCCAAACAGTGTAATTAAGAAAAAAAGGGGAGCAGAGATAATGAACAGCTTTTAATGTTGTATATTTTGGACTGAATATTGTAATTTATCTGGAATTCCTCTTAAAACGGAGATCTAGCTAGGTAAAATCTGAACATGAACAGGACATACAAGATAAATAGAAAGAATGGTCTTACTTGTTAAGGCAAAATTTGGATTCTCCACTTCCAAGCGCTGCATCTGTGCATTCAAAAACACTTTGATATCAATCCCATTGGCAAAGGAGGAGTTGTTGAAAAACCTTGATGGTATTTTAGAAGCAATGTCAGGCTCATCTCTACCGAATCCTAGATTATAAAGAATTTCTTCAGGGTCTTCTTCGTAGAGGTCAAGCAACTCCGATACGCTGAAAAAAAACAAAAAAACACCACATTTTTATGACTTAAAAACATATCTCTCCACACATACCAGAGTCTTTACTGACAAGTTCTTGAAGCGGCTAACAGGTGTTCATTCAAGTTTCTGTGAGTATTCCCCTCCATCAACAATAAAATTTTACCGGGTTGTCTTTTTCATGAATTCTCAGTCTCATGTCCCTTGTCTGATAAAAGCTACTTACTTATGGGTATTTGACCGGGTATCGATCACTACTGTTTGTACTCCTGGGTATAGCGTAAAAGCATCCACACTGATGGATATGTATTTGATAAACTTTACTGCATTTTTGACATTTGTGACATTAGCACTTACGTCAAGTCTTCAACCACTTGCACCCCGGAAGATTGAACCCCCCTCCTGACCAGGCCATTTTTTGCTATTCGGCACTGCGCTATTTCGATTGGTAATTGCGTGGTCATGCAATGCTGTACCCAAACAAAATTTAAGTCCTTTTTTCACACAAATAGAGCTTTCTTTTGGTGGCATTTGATCACCACTGGGTTTTTTATTTTTTGTGATATGAACGAAAAAAAAATACCAAAAACATGGGGAAAAAAAAAAAAAAAAAAAAAAGATATTTTCTACTTTTGGTTACAGAAAATATCAAACAAACTCAAAGTTAGTCAGAAACTTAAGCCAAAATGTTTTTCTGCAGCATGTCTTTGGTAAAAAATCCTAATACGTGTATATTAATTGGTTTGTGTGAAAGTTATAGAGTCTACAAACTATGGATAGATACTGTCATTTATGCAGCTTTTACATTCTGACTGCCCATCACATTCCTTGACGTGTTAAACCACCAGGAAAGTAAAAAGACCTCACCCAAATGAACCTTTTTTGGAAGGTATACACTCCAAGGAAGTTGCTGAGAGGCATGTTGAGTCCATGGAAGATTTTTTTTTTTTTGCCACAAATTTTTTAAAAATTACAAAAATGTTTTTATTTATTTTTACACAAAAAGTTGTGACATAAATGAAATATGGCTCACGTATGCCATGACTATATGTGGAATAACATCCCAAAACACACATTCTTCTACTTCTCCCGAGTATGGGGATACCACATGTGAAAGACATCCACAGGCAGCCTATCCACATACAGGCACCCAAAATCCAATGACCACTTTCAGGCTTTCAAAAGGGCATATTTCCTCATATCACTTCACTACTTAATCACAGTTTCGGAGGCCCTAAAATGACAGCATAGTACAAACAGCCCCCAAATTTCCTTTTGGAAAGTAGGCAATCCAAGGAATTTGATCAGAGGCATGCTGAGTATTTTGCAGGTATCATTTTTATCACAAGGTTTTGAAAAAGAAAAGAAAAAAAAAATACATTGTTGTGTCTTTCTTCATTTTCCAAATACTTGTGGCAACAAATGAGATCTGCAAAATACTGGTGGGCATCGGTTTATGATAAAGGGTTATGGTATGAGGATATATGATATTAGATCTGTTATGTCATATTGGAAGCGCCTCACCAGTATTTGATATAGATTCATTAACACAGTGGAGTGATTACACAGTTGGGTGGCAGCTGCTTTCCTTATTCAATTTCACTTATTTTACTGATTTATTTATGGTTGTTTTTTATAGAGTACTAATAGCACAGGTTTTTTTCCCTATTTTTATTTAACATACAAATTCAGAATTCAACACCTCTGGAAGTGTCATGTGCCCATGTTTTCCCTACCACGTGACATTGTTCCATCCTCCAATCCATGAATCCTGTAGTGACATAGGGCTAGGAGGAGCAACGTAGACTCGGCAAGAGGAACAGACATTTAACATTTCTGAACTGTCAATGCAAAAGGCTTACGCAGTCCACAGCGCTCGAATGGAGGGGAGGTAGGACATACATCAGTAGCCAGAGAGGTGATTATTTAGTGTCTTCCAGTGCAGTGCACTCTCATTTGAATTTTTAGAGACCTGACATGGTCTCTTTAAAGTGATCCAAAACAGCTGAGAAAATGCGAGAAAACTGTTATTGTTCTATGGGAGTAGCAACTTCTAACTACCAACACTTCCTGCAGAAGAAGGCTGTACTGGCAAACAGTACAGGAGTGTAAAAATGTAATACAGGAAACCCTGAACTAGCTTCCAACGTAAGAAGAGAACAATTATATATTGGGCACCATAAACGTTGGGAATGAAGTCGAAGGATTATGCGTCCTTGCTTTTTGAAGATAACAAAGTACAATATTTACTAAGATTTGTTTTCTTTGAAGTCTGATCTAATGGAAAAGTAAGATGTACTTTTAAGATGAAGAGCTGCTGAAATTACTAAGTATAACAAATTAACAGGTTATTTTTTTTTTACTTGAATTGGGAGAAAAGTGGGTGTTGAGTTAGAGAATATATATATCTCTCTGACTGCAATTGGTATGAAGACCCCAAAAATGCATTACAAATAGTGTGTGGGTTTTTTTTTTTATTATTATTTATTAACGTATAACTAAAGTCGGTGCTTTGTTTTTTTTTTTTTTTCCCTGCTGTCCCCTACGAGGACATTTTCCTTTTTTTCTCCCCCTCACCTCCTGCTTCAACACACAAGGAGTAAGCAGAAATCTCTCAATTTTAGATCCCTCCTTAAGTTCCAGTGAGGATAGTCAATGGGACAAATAGAGAGGGGAAAACTTACCAGAGACACACACCGCAATAAAAACCCGAGTTCCACACTAAACTGAATAAATGGCTATAGAGAAACAATACAAATTGCACTGCAGTTATGGCATGTGACCAGTTTAGCTGTATACAGTGTGGATCTAGTGAGCTCTTAAAATGTTTGTTGGTGTACAGTCATTTATATATAGGAACATCAAGTGAGCAACACTAAAACATTCATATGTCAAGACAAAACTACAATGTGAAGAAAAGATAAACCCATAACCAATCAGAATTCCCCCTGCAGTGAAGACCATTTACGAATAGAAGTTCAAATAAAACTGGAGCAATGGTTTTTCTCCCTAGTAAAGGAAAGAACCTCACAGATGGCTACTGGCAAAGGTTTTAACTTTTATAAATCAGCCGATTTCTCATGGCTGCACAAAGCTATCATCAAAAAGCTTCAATTGCCTGTCAAACAAAGCAAAATCACCTTATAAACACAATACAATCTAGGTGATCTCACTGAGGTACCCTATATACTATAACATGGAGAAGACAACCATCTCCAGTTAACGGGTGACTACACTTTCGTGGAAAAAAAATACATATAGAATCTACAATTGCGACACAAGTCATATTGTAATAACCTTTCTTTTTCAATCTGCGCTGTTGTAATTTTCTGCAAAATGCAAACAATATGGCAATCTGGAGCACTCTGTATACAGATGGTGTACAAAACACCCTCCAGAAATTTTATTTCATGCTTGTGTGATTGGCTGATTTTCCCAGAACTCTGCACTAAGATGCACGTCAGATTTTGGGCAACCTGTGCAACAAACTTTTCAGTTTTGGTGAAATACCACCAAGGGGTTAAAGTGTTACTAAACCCACAACAGTCATATCAGTCTGTATATGTAGTAAAGCAGGCTTGATATACTCACTGTGGAACCTAAGGGGTTAATACTCTGCATTGTGTAAAAAATGCAGTTTGATCCTGACTTCTCTGATCCTCCCCTTCTTCCAGTGTCCCGCCCTTATCTCCTGATAAGACATATCATGTGCACACACTCAGCACATGCTTAGTTTGGTGTGTATTGCTAGAGAGGTTTTTTTCTTGGGAGAGTGCACGTGATCAGCACAGGGCCAATCAGCACTGTCCATACAAAGGTCAGGGGTTCTGCATCCTCCTAGAGCAGAAAGAAAACTCCTCCTACAAGCTTTAACCAGTGCTCTGCTGAACACTGATCGAAGTCACAAGACTGCTCTAACTGCTGATGAGAAAAGGTATTTTATATTTACTAAAATAATTGCAGTTCCATGTTCTGTGTAGTGTGGGAGAGCAGATAGAGAGAATGCAGGGTCCTGGGTTTAGTAACACTTTAAAGCGGTAGTAAACTGCAGTAAAGGGAAAAAGAACAGTCCCCTGCAAGGTAGTGTCATAATGTGCTAGTATGCTATGCATACTAGAACATTACGCAAAACGTACCTTAAAACTAAGCCCTCCAGCGGCTTGTTGTCACTGCTGTAGAGACTTCCATCTTCACCCGTCTTATTGCCAAAAACGCGAGCTCCGGCAGTCTGACAGCCGGACTGAGATGACATCACTCCCATGGGGGAGTCCCTGACCAAGGATATGCTGTTCCTTCAGAGCGTATGCGCCGGCTTAAAAAAAAAAAAAAAAAAAAAAAAAAAAAGGAAGAGAATACCTCCTAAACAGTGCACGTTTAGGAGACAGTCATTTTACTTACAGGTAAGCTTTATTATAAGCTTCCCTGTAGGTAAAATTAAAAAACCATTTACTACCACTTTAAGCACATCTAAAGTGATTCAGACCCTGCCACTTGCCTTATTAGAACCCTGCAAGTGCAGCAGCAGCTAACGAATGAAAAATTCACTTCCATTCACATTGCACATGGACACAAACAGCCATTTCTTCAAAATAACGAAAAGGTAGGAATCTGTATCAAACGTTTAGTTAAATCCTTGCAATGTACATAGATCACCCAGAGGGGAATTTTTTTTTTTTTTGCAAAAAAAAAAAAAAAAAAAAAGTGGAGTTACTCTTTAAAAGTGAGGAATGTAAATACTTGGGTTTTTACTTAAAATGCACTGCTGGCAGAAAAAGCTCCCAGCAGTCCTCTGTGAGACTGTTTCAGATGTTACAAGGCAGGAAACAAGGGAGGTGGAGACATAAGCAGTCCACTGCCATTGGAAAACTTAGTCCTATGCAAAGATGAAAATGTAACGCCCTCCTTCCCACTTATCTGGGCAACAACATCCTTCTGAAATATTAGGAACAAAAGCAAAAATACCTGGATACAGTTGCACTGCTTTTCGCAGAACCTGTAGAGTTCATGCTTCTCCCTTTCTGATGAAACTGAAGTCTTCGGTCTTTTGCCAGCATTCCACTGCTTTAAAAAGAAAGTTATTATAAGCATGCACAATTATCGCCAATGATTTATCAGCAAGTCAATCAGGAATAGGGGAGGGTTTGGAGTATGCCACATAATGTGCTACTTACAATGGGTTCTCCATTGGCAAGTTTCTTTCATGGAGATGATTTGCTATAAAACAATGAAGAGAGAAAAGAAATTAGTCATACTTCTTGGTTACTATAGATACAAGCAATTTAATTTTTAACTGGCAAGGGTTCAGATCACAGAATACTTTCTAAAGTGCCCAGCCTGTCAGATCTGTAGGTACATGCCATTTAGAAAAGTCTTTCACAAATCTAACAATTAAAACAGCAGCTGCCTCATTCACAGGACAAGAGTCAAATCCTCAAAAGCTAGCTTTTGTTTCAAATAATAAATCCTGTAATTGATTTCACAAATATCAGATTCCTTTTACAGGATAATATGTAGCATGCATGTATTAATCTACTCTTTTAGACAGCTGATAACTTGTACGTGTCAATACACGCGTGGCCCTGCAAAACTTTCATCTCGCTCATTTCAAAACCACATATGGCCATTTTTCAAAGAGCTCAAAAATCATTTTGCAACTTTCATAGGAAGGTGTGTGAAAAGAACTGGGAATAAGGGATGCCAAGATCAACTATAAAACCATACTGAATTAACTAGAATACTTTTCATATTATGTGGATGAATGCACCAAAGTCAATCCTACAAGAACTTTTTTATTTCCTCTTTTTGAATCAATGTCAGAATGAATCACTCACTGGCTTTCTATATCAGTCGTATGTTCTGGTAAGTAGAACTCTGTACTATGGTTTTCATCTAAGCCCACTATTAGGGAGAACGTCATAAGAAAAATGAGACAAAACGAAGGGCTTGTCCACACTTGACTAAATTTCTAACTCCTCAAAAAACGCCCCTGTAGCGTTAGTATGGACGCTAGAGCTTTAGTATGGGCGTTTTACAAGCATTAACAACTCTCCCCAAACACCCTATGCACGGTTTTGATGTGTTGTAGGAGCATTTTAGAAGTGTTAAAACTGTACCACAAAGGCCTATAGTAAACTCTAATGGTATTAACGCGCCGCAAGCGCACTGCAAACTCCCCGCAAACACATTTGTTGAGCGTCACCATAGACTTAAATGGGAGACGTTGAAAGGCTTCAAACTGCTCCAGGCTCAACACGCGGCTTCAATTTTGAAGCGACGCAACGCTAACACTTCACGTTTTAATAATGTTAACAGCACTGTGTGCTGTCCATAGTATCATTTGCATAGGCGTTTGAGGAGCATTAAAAACGCTCCTCAAACGCCTGCTTTCAATGCCAATGTGAACTAAGCCTAAGGAAGCAACAAATATGAATTGGCAGGGGCAGACATGGATACTGCAGAAGGACGAACGAACGGCCAGATCTTAGATGCCACTGGGTAAATAAACCTATCAATGCCTACTCATAGCTGAAATCTCCGTTGGGATGGTATGACCCTTCCTGAAAGTAAGCAGACCTATCCTTGGAATTTGAAGAAAAGAGAGACAGGAGGCGCCTGTCCGAATGTAGTAATAACACTGTATTTAATGGGAGCTCTCCACTGACCCTCTGCCTCTTCCTGTGATATCACATCCTGCCGGTGTGTTCCATGCTGGTTACTAGGTTCCTTCCTGCACAAACTCTGCTGGATGGGCTCTACAACACCACCATTCTGAAGGTTTGACCACTACAGTGTCTCTTGCCATCTCCATCAGCCCAGCTGCTTTTGCACCAACCACCGGTGGCGCCTTGAGGAACGGTCATCTCTCATATACACAGATGATCTTGTTTTATTACTTCCTTTGTGAGTGTTTTTAATCCTTTGCTACTAAATACAGTGTTATTACTACACTCAGACAGGCGCCTCCTGTCTCTTTTCTGTCCCTGCATACAGAGCTGGCTTGCTCCGAGGATGGCTGCCCTCTTTTTGTGCTAAAAAGATTCCAGGCAGATTGCCGGAGAGACTCTTATAAGGACTTATTGTACACCAATGCATTTACATACCCTGTTTAAGTACTTGTATGCCAATATTGCCATTATCTTTTACTTCATAATTTTTATCCTTTTCACCCTTACACTACTTTACTCCTGTGCGCCAGTTACTCGTTTTTTACTATGTCCTGGGAATTTGATACTGGCGTTTGCTAAAAGGTCTGCTGCGCCTGAATACTTAAGTGAACTACTATGGGATGCTCTGCTTCAATCATCTCAGGGCTTGTCCACACCATGGTGCAGAGACATATTTCTGCGCGTGTTCTGCAAGGGCACAACTAAATCGCCTTTTCTCTAATGTGCCCTGTTCACACCAAAACATTAGTAACATGTGCAGATTTTTTCTGTGCAGGAATCTGCAAAGTGTATACAACTTGTTAAAATGTGCATGAAAAACGGATGTAAACTGATGTCTCTGCAAGCGAAATCTGCGTGTCACTTTCCATCAGTTTTTCTGCACATATGGTGTGAACGAGGCCTAGTCTCTGCAGTATACAGACAGACACTCTACAAGTAAAGCGGAACTAATCCCATCAATTTAACCTAACAGTCAAGACATGCTGTAAATGATAACTGTCAACAGTTTCTTGTGCTCTCAACTGAACTGTCAAGCCAACAAATGGCTGGAGTCACAGCTGATCCCATATGCAGCACCATAGCAATTGCAGATCAATCAGAGGCTAAGATGGCAGCTTCCTTGGCTGTAAAGGAGAGGAGGGTTTACTTGCACTTTAAAATGGAACATCACCCTCTCAGTCCATGCCGACTATGTTTAATCCTTATGCAAAATAGAGAGGAAAATAGATCATATTTACAACTTTTTTTTTCTACATTTTTCCATTACTTACTGGTGTCCAGGCCTAGGCAAATGATGTCATACATGCCAGAAGGCTTCAGGAGAGGCTCTCTCAGCTAAGCTACAATAAATCAATTTTGATTTATGTAGCAAATGCTACATAAACAATAATCTTGTGCTTAAGATGGCCACAGGCTAGATATCTAGGGGGGTGTTTTTCAATGTGATTTCCCCAGCAAAATAAAGCATGGAGACATGGATGGATGAGTGAGTTTGCTTTGAATATTAAAAATGAATTAAATAGCATTTTTAGTTTGTAGTGCTCAGATGCAGTGAAGGTCCACTAAATTTAAAGCCAACAATGGCCCAATAGACAAAATATTCCAGAACATACATAAAACACGCAGTGTTAGCCTGTGCACATCTTGGAATAAGAAGGGATGATCACTGTGGAATATTACAGATGTAGCAATATTGATATTAGCATACCAATTTGATTAACATATCTTTTTAGCGATAAGACTGCAATAAACACAAGTTTAATTGGCACTTCACCGGGCACATGCTGGTTTCAGGCAGCAAGGCACTAAAAAGGGAAGGCGAGAGAAGGGTGAAAATAAAGGTTTTTTTACGGTTCCCATGACCAAATGCTAAGATGTTGGTTATGCTCAAATGCACATCCATTAGACAGTGCATGGCAAGTGAACTCTGCTGAATGAATGTTTGACTTTTCTCTTTACTATAAGCAGGGAACAATGACACATCAGGTAAAATGTTTTTCCGGCGTAGACCAATGCGCTAGCACCTGGCTGGGATCTGGTCATTTCTATTCATGTATCAGACTGCTGGTATCCAGGAAGCTCAGCTGTGTCAGAATCATTTGTATGGAGCAAAAAGGTTTAAATTTCATGTGAACTTTCAGCTTACTGACTCTATAGCCCCCCACAGTATGTGGATTCAAAATAATTTACAGGGCACCAAAACATTTCATAATGCTTTGCAATGTGGATAGGACACATGAAGCTTAGGAAACAGTATTACATTGCTATTCCTATTTTTCTACAAACTACAAAACACTTTCTAAGGGTTACACCTCTCTATGAGCATACCAATCGCCTATCTCCCATAAGAAGTCATGATGTTTAATTACACATACAGTCGCTATTTGTATTCCTATCAGCCTCTAAACAAGAGACCAAACACTGCTCTTAGCATTGCGACCACAGAAACAAACCTTTTTCACATAACTCTGAACAACATAAATGGTGTGTGACAGCCGTCAGGTTGCTAGGAAGTTAATTCCGACACAAAGGAACAAATTGACAGATCTGGTTCTTGTGCTAATACACAAACCAAATAGTCTCCAAGAGGAATCAGCCATTGCCACTAGCCAAGGGTCTTAAAGAAAATGTCTGGATCCAAGACATTTTACTTTATGTCCAAACTTGCCACAACGTGCAGTATCAGACATTCAGCATTACATAAATGCGAAGTATTTCTAGTTCTTTTTTTTTTTCTTCAATGTAAACTGACAGCAAGTTTAAAAGCAGCCTGACACATTACACACAAGCACTACATGACTCTAAACGCAACCTGTAGTAAGAGAAATATTGCGGTTGCTGAACTTCTAAACGTGTGACCCATCTGTCTCTGGCTTAAGTGAATTCAAATTAAAGAACAAGCATGCAGCAACGGAAGGCAGAATTCCAGATCAGCATAACGGCTATGATTTAAAGTATTGAAACCGCTGGGTCTGCATTGACAGCCAAGCAACTTGTTAGTTATAGCAACCTACATACTTTTCTCAGCAAGGATTCCCTTTAACTACTTGCCAACCGCAGATAGCCGAATGAGAGCTACACTGCAGCCAGCCAGTTCTGGGAGGGCGTCATATGACGTCCCCCCAAAATGAGCTTTCCTGCGTGCCCCCGGGGGCGCACACTCGGCGATCTCCGTGATCGCTGTGTCCTACGGACACAGCTGAACACGTGATGTGGTAAAAGGCCAATCACAGCGGCCTTTTACCACGTGATCAGCCGTGTCCAATGACACGCTGATCAGAGGGAAATGCAATTGCCGGTTCTCGGCTGCACTTTCTTCACACTGTCAGAGCGTGAGGAAAGTACTGCCGACAACCGGCAGTTGTCAGAGCAGGGATCGGCACCGATCATCAGGGCACTGATGATCAGTGCCCTGATGATCGGTGCCCAGCATTGCCACCCACCAGTTCCGCCCACCTGTGCCCAGCAGTGCACCCACCTGTGCCACCCACCTGTGCCCAGCGGTTGTGCCAGTCAGTGCCCAGCAGTGCCGCCAGTCAGTGCCTAGAAGTGCCGCCAGTCAGTGCCCAGCAGTGATGCCAGTCAGTGCCACCTATCAGTGCTGTCTATCAGTGCCGCCTATCCGTAACACCTCATCAGTGCCGCCTATCCGTGCCACCTCATCAGTGCTACCTATCAGTGCACATCAGTGCTGCCTATCAGTGCCACCTATCAGTGCCCATGCTGCCTCATCAACGCACATCAGTGGAGAAAAAGTACCTGTTTGAAAAATTTTATAATAGAAACAAAAACATTTTTTTTTCACATTTTTTGCACTTTTTTTGTTTATAGCGCAAAAAGTAAAGTGCCCAGCGGCAATTACATACCACCAAAAGAAAGCTCTATTTGTGAGAAAAAAAATGATAAAAATTTTGTATGGGTACAATCTTGCATGACCGCGCAATTGTCAAAGTGAAACAGCGCTGAAAGCTGAAAATTGGCCTGGTAAAGAAGGGGGTATAAGTGCCCGGTAGGCAAGTGGTTAAGTATAATGCAGTGTGGAAGGAAACATGTAAAGATCAGGTGAGTCTGACTGTCAGGGTATAAAGATGTCTGCAGGTCAGTAAGAATTATACTACACAGTGGAGGAGATTTACTAAAACTGGTGCAGCTGTGCATAGTAAACAGCCTCCGGGTTTTCCTCTGGTTCATACATATATGCGGCCGTGTGGGGCCGCGTTTTATGCGGGCACGAGAGCCCATTCATTTGAAGGAACTCCCATGCCCCGTGACACGCAGGGAAGAAATCCCTGCATTTCTTCTGAAAACACAGCCCGCATGGGAACCTTCTCAGTACGGTTGCGTTTTCCAGTGCGGGCGGCGTGCCATTAAAACTAATGGCACCCGCCCGCGGGTCCCCATTCCTCTGTGCGAATGGTGCAGCTGCACAGATTTTCGTGCGGATCCACAGCGGCACCACCCGCACAGATGTGAACCAAGCCTTACTGCCAAAGCTGAACTGAACAAGCTGATTGGCTATCATGCACAGCTGCACCAGATTCTGAGTACTCCAGTTTTAGTAAATCTTCCCCAGTACATTTTAAATAGGTAAGATGACATTATGTAAAAGGAAAACTAGTATTCCACATATACATAGGCTGCCATTGTTGACCTCCCAAAAATACTAGTTGTCTGGCTGTCATGCATGTTAAGTCACTAACCATATGGAGAACCAAGCAGCAGGAGACAAGCACCAACGTACATTCGTTCCAGGTCACTGAATTGGGAAGTGTCTAAAAGATTAGAATAACAGGCATGCAATAGCAGCCCATATATTCCTTTTGTGACAAGTTCCCCATAAACACAAAGGAGGTTATAAAGGAGTAGAGCAAAAGTAGTAGAGCATATTCGCAAAGTAAATTTTCTCTTTGCAAGGCAATTTTCACATTCATGAATGTGGTGAAAATTCATTTTGGAAAGAATACCCATTACATGCAAGGAAAGTAATTAAAAAAAAAGTAATTTTCCTTGCACATGATTAGATGACTGAAGTCAACACAACTTCACTTCATTCACTAACCAAAGTGAGAATTCCCTTGCAAAAAGAAAATTCACATTGCAAAGTCAACATGCCCAACTTCTTCAGTAAATGAACCTAAAGTATTTTAATTGATTTGAAGGACTTTGTGACTGTATTAGTCAAGTCAAAGAGCAAGGCGCAACATGAAGTATCCCATAACCACCAATCAGCGTGCTTTTCTCAAGGGATGATCCCGATAACCTGGATGTAACACCACTATTGCTTTATGAAACAACTGAGGAATTATGTTTATTGACGAAAAATGTGATCTGATCTTCCAAACATGCAGCAACATGTTCTAAACTTATTCAAAGCACCACACAGGTGAATAAGACTATGTACAGTGTAATACCACAATTAAATCTGGTTTTTGATGTCGTCGGTTTTACATATAGTGCCCTCAGCTTTGCTATTTAAAAATATAAATTTGCTATTATCATTATAAAAGGATATCTAAAAATTGTAAAAAACAATTAACAGAGCCAAAACACTTCAAATCTCACATACACAAAATATGCCCAAGTTATTCATATCATGGGATCTTATTTCGTATCCTGTCCCCAATAACTAGAGAATTTTCTCACCATAAATGCACATGACTTCCATCTAAGTGTACAGGTAGAAGGGGGAATTCATCCAAAAATGCCACAAGCTATAACGTTTGGAAACAATATCTTTTTACATGAAGTCTTTCCTTATTCTCAAACTGTAAATGGGCAAGAACAACTTCATATGAAGATTTCACACCATCCTTCATGTGAAAGTGACTACAGCATGACAAACTGCTCATCTAACATCACCTTAAGTGGTATTCAGCATCCATGCAAGTACAAGCTTGACTGTAAGCAAACATACTGGATTACAGGTTCCTGGAAACCCCCCATAGACCAGGACCTCCACTTACAGTATACTGAAAGGTTGTAGACTTCCAGTTCCTAACAGGACAATGGTACCTGAAAAGGCTACTTTTTGGATGACTTCGGATTTGCAGACTTTCACTCGAGGTATATGAACTGCATTTAGAAGCAATAAAACAAGTGAAAGCTTATATTGGTCCAGAACAACAGTAACAGAGAAACATGCTTCGTCTTTAATCCCAAAGTTTAAGCAGAGTATGGGAACACACATTACTTACTCTGACAATGAACACAGCCGGCAAGTCTGTACAGGAAGATCTTACACCATTAAAAGGTTAATTAAACCCATTACCTGTTCCAGTGGGTTGTGTGTGACTAAGTAATTGTACTACCTCGCGCCTTTCCCCTAGCATTTACAGACTAGCTTTGCCCTCCAGAAAAGATTTTGTTTTATGCAGTAATTAAGTATCATGGTTGTTGGCAGCTTGGAAACCCTCAATGCAAAACAATAAAAAACAGACAACAACTACGTGTTTATTTACATGAGAAAAGGCCCCGTGTTCTAAAATTGTCCATACAGTTCAAATTACAACAAAAGATTAAAGATGTCTCCTTAGCAAGCAAAAGTCATACTTGAATCTCTAAAAAGACCAATTCTCATTCCTAACACCATTTTTGTGACAATCATATGCAGGAATGAAGTACATTTCCTAGCAGGGTGAAGACTAACAGCTGCTGCTGTCTCGGCATTTTGTTGCACTCAACTAACCCATACACTAACCAATTATTCCAAAAAGAAATGCAAAATGTTGGACTGCTTACAAAAATATCCTAAATGCCCTGAAAGTATCTGTCCCAGTCCTAGCCAGGGCCTGAAATGCTTGTTGCAGACCTGGACTGGATGCCTGTGAATTAGTCTACAGTACTGTACAGACTGTTCTCCTGCTCACTAGACTGCAAAGGGAAAAGTGGACTCACCTTCAGCTCCCAGAGACAAGTCATCTTCAAAACTGTTGCCATTTTTTAAAATCATTCCTGGGGAGAAAAATGCAACATGAACATTCAGTCAGAAGTGCCACATGTTTTTTCTTGTTACTGTATCAGATGCCTGCAGCGTACTGAAGGTCAGTGTTCAGCTGAACTAAGCACAGTTCAAACAAGACAAGAAAAAAAAAAAACTGGCTGCTCATGCAACATGTTTCACTTCCGCACTGCAAAGATTCAAGAAGAAAAAAAAAATCATTATCATTCCCTGCATATTCCTGCATAACTTTGTACCACCGTCCTTCTACACATTGTCAGGAAAATGAAACAGGTGTGGCAGGCTCAGCATATAATCTGCAAATATCATGCATAAATCAATCTCATTTACATTTTAAGTAATACATGAACTACTTTAAAAAGGCACTTTGTCCTATTGTACAGAGATATGTATATTCCTAGAATGACCTCTGTTTCTTAAATAAATCTTTTAAATGAAACTCTCTCCTCTAGACAATTTTAGAATTAGGTGTATTATTTCCATCTACAAAGCAGAAGATACTAAACCAACTTTTGGTATACTTTAGACAAGAGACCAAGAGCTGGAGCACTTAAAAACATTTTTGATTTTGTGGGGTGGGGTGGTGGGGGCAGGTTACCGTAGAGAAAGGGTCTCCAAACGTTCTAAACAAAGGGCTAGCTTACTTTAGGGGGAATGGACTGTGGCCACTGGGGAGTAGAAATTGTCCTTGTGTCAGTGGGAGTAAACAGTGCATCTTTGGCATTAAGGAGAGGAATAGTGCACCACTGTTGGTTTCAGTGGGAGGAATAGTTCACCATTGCTGGTGTCAGTGGGAGGAATAGTGCCCCATCATTGGTGTCAGTGGAATAGTTCACCATTGCTGGTGTCAGTGGGAGGAATAGTGCCCCATCATTGGTGTCAGTAGGAGGAATAGTGCCCCATCATTGGTGTCAGTAGGAGGAATAGTGCCCCATCATTGTGTCAGTAGGAGGAATAGTGCCCCATCATTGGTGTCATTGGTAGTGCCCCATCATTGGTGTCAGTAGGAGGAATAGTGCCCCATCATTGGTGTCAGTAGGAGGAATAGTGCCCCATCATTGGTGTCAGTAGGAGGAATAGTGCCCCATCATTGGTGTCAGTGGGAGGAATAGTGCCCCATCATTGGTATCAGTGGGAGGAATAGTGCCCCATCATTGGTATCAGTGGGAAGGAAGTGCCCCAAAGTGCCTTGCATCAGAGGGAGGAAAAAGTGCCCTAAGGGCCGGATATAAAGAATCAAAGTGCCGAACTTGGCCCGCAGGCTGCAGTTTAGAGTCCACCGCCATAGACTATATTGAGAATATCATTGATTATATTGGTTCTGCAAATTCGTAAGATCAGAGCGGTCAGTTGACAGTAACACGTCAATTTTAATCAACACAGTGACTGGTTTAATGACCCCTCAAACATGTGTATTCTTTTTAAACATACCTAAAACTCAAAAACAAAAATGTAAAAAGTTGCAGCTCACCAGTCTTTCAATGTGGTTCATTTTTCCCATGCTTTTTAACCCCCTTTCTTTATACCTGGTGATCCCATAAACAACACTTCTGAGACCTTGGTGGCTATATACACTCATTCACTGTATCTACTGGGGGACAGCCATGGTCGCCACCCAAGCTGAATTACAAACATGGCTGCCTTTGTTTCCCTCCATTACATGGAGGATTGGGAGATCAGAGCTCACAGAAAATTTAGAGAATGTTCAGTTCCACTCACAGGAAAGGACACTGCATTTCTGGCAACTTGGAGTATTTTCTGTACTAGTTAAAAACATTAAAACTAAGGGCAGTCACCACATAAAAGAACTGGTAAGGCACAATATATTCTGTTATGTTTAGTTTTAATTATGCAGAGATCAGGCTACAGTGTGAAAGAGTTAGAACCATGAACGTCGGCTTTATTGCCATCTGTAAATGACTCTGGAGTAAGTTCACCTCACTTCTGTCTCAGAGACAAAACAGAAGCGAGACCAAATCTCCCCAAAACTGTGGCAAGATCCCCCCCCCCCCCTTGACAGATGTCATCAAGATAGGTCTTTGCACCTAGGGGACATTCACACTTATGTGATGCACATTGGCTGCATCCTAGCAACTGAGGACACTAGGTAACACTGCATCCAAGCACCCTAGGACACCAAGTGACAGGGATCACCTGCGTCTATGCAACAAAGTGACAGGAGCCATCTACATCCTTATTTGCGCTGTACTCTGTATGCATGTAAAGATTAACACAAACATTCTATGCATACCGTGTACAAACAAGATCTTTTGTTGGATCTCACTGCCAGCAAGACCCTCAGTAAAATCATGTGGCTGTGTGCACAAGCCCTAACCCTAAGTTCACTGCCATGAAAGCATGCTTTAATTTTAATAGAAATACCATATGCAACTCTATTTCATACATTTTTTGATAACAGTGGTTTTACCCTAACATTCTAGACTATCAGCAATGTTTCAGTTATGGGAAAATCGGCACCTGTTCTAGTGTAATCCAGACACATTCCCTTTTGTGTAACACACTGTGCAAACAGCTTCTATTAACTACCCTGTCAGCAAATACATCAGGCAATACACAGAACTGTCACTTACCCTTCGGAAAGCCTGCTGGATTGGTCTGTTCATCCAGGGACGCTCCCAGAGGCGTTCTGGGAAAAAAAAAAAAGTTTGCCGAATTTAGTTTAGTACTTAAGAAAAAATGGTTTCACATCCTTCCTCTGTTACCCATGCTAAGTAACAGATAAAAAGGGCGGGGGCCAAACATTTCTGTAGAAACTGCAAATTGGGAAAGACTGAAAGAAGAAGAAGAAAAACACAGCATTCACGACACACGCATACACATGTGTAGACATTTTACACACCACATAACCAGATGGGCTTTTCTGTTAGGTTTCCATTATCTCTCTTAAATGGAAGGATAGCCGACAGATAAACGGTACCAACTGCTTTGGGATCCAGGCTTCCAAGCTAGCAGCTACCAAAATAAAGTATCTTATGTAGATCACACCTTGTGTTCTTCCTGCATTAGGTGTGTGAACAGCTTTAAGGATCAAACTTACCTGATGATACAGCAATTTCTATTAAAGCCATTTTGTAAAGTTACCTTTCCATTTCAAAACTACAAATACCAACCTGCTTAACATTTCAGATACGGACTCCTTGCAATATAGCAACCTGTATCATTCAGTATAAAACAACCCCCAAAAATCGAATGTTATGCTTAGGTCATTGGTTGCCTAGCAGTCAACAGTAAAGTTACATGCAGCCCCCCAAAAGAGTAGATGGCTTTGCAGAGGATTAGGGAAGAACAATACATTTGTAAAATGATGTGGATCCTGCTACATTTATTTTAACAGTGGGATTGCTTAGATGGAGAATAATAAAATACAGTTCCCCCAATTAGTAATCAGTTTTAGAAAGGTCACTTTCTAAAAAAGGTTTTCTCTGAGTAGAGAAAAGCAAGATTCTGCATAAAAGTGTGCTGGAATCCTTAATATGTATATAGTTATTTTTTCCCCTTAGCAAAACTGGAATTTCACATTAACAGTACTGTATAAATATTTGAGAATTCTCCCTCCACCTGTGTGAATAGCTCCTGCTCAGTTAGGGTAGACTACATATCTGGCAACTTTAGTGTGAACACTAACAGGCCAGAAATGACCAGATGGAAGACATAATGGTGGCCAAAGCTAATATACATGACAGATACCTATATGACACAATGAACAGGCCTGAACCAGTAGCCAGGCTATGGACATTTAAAATGATACTAAACATACACTGTCTAACCACTTGCCCTCCAGAGGATTTACCCCCAGACCAGGCCATTTTTTGAGATATGGCGCTGAGTTATTTTATCTGCCAATTGTGCGGCCATGCAATGCTGCACCGAAATGAAATTTATGTCCTTTTTTTCCCCACAAATGGAGCTCTCTTTCAGTGGTATTTGATCGCCTCTGCGGTTTTTATTTTTTTTGCGCTATAAGCAAAAAAAGACCGACAATTTTGAGAAAAAAAAAAAAAAACAAACAAACATTTTTTTACTTTTTGCTATAAAACATGCAGCAAAAACATTTAAAAAAAAAAAAAATCAAAATTTAATCATAAATTTAGGCAAAAATATATTCTGGTGCATGTCTTTGCTTAAATAAAAATCCCAATACGTGTAAATTAATTGGTTTACGTGAAAGTTATAGCGTCTACAAATGGCGGTATTTATACTGGAATTTTTATTTTTTATTTTGTACTAGTAATGGCGGCGATCAGCAACTTTTAGCAGAACTGCGGCAGGCATTCTGACAGTGGGTGGGGGGGGCTGACTGCCACTGACATCCTCAGTGACATGAATACAGTGATCAGTGCTAATAAAAAGCACTGACACTGTACTAATGACACTGGGCAGGAAGGGGTTAACATCTGGGGCGATCAAAGGGTTAACTGTACGTGGTTTCATTATGTGTGTGTTTTACTATGCAAGCATGCTGCTTTGTATTGCTCTGCTATGCAAAGCAATACAAAGCAGCATGCTGTTGCTGACAGGGGAGAGATCTGTGTTGTTTACATACAGACCTCTTCCCTGTCAGTGTTCCTCAGCAATCACCGGGTGCCGGTGGCACGCATGCCCCCTAACCGGAAATGCAAAATCAAAAAAAACACACACACGATTTTCCACAGCCCCGGCGCCCTGTAGCTATAGTTCTGCGGACAGGAAGCGGTTGAATTATCCCTTCTCTTTGTGTAGGTGGATAATGGCATTTTTTTTTTTAATGAAATTGATTAAACACATCCAAGTACCTTTCTTCCTAATCAATATACAGCTGTCACATGACCCAGCTCTTTCCCAGCCTGTCTGCAGGGAAACAGTGGCAGGAGGAGCTTCTAGTCCTCTGCTTTTGGTCACTTTAAAAAAAAAAAAAAAAAAAAAGCCTTTGGGATACGAAGTATAAATAAAATCAATAAAACTGTTTTAAACTATCATACAAATATATATTTGAAATCAAATCTTTATTATTTTTGGGCAACATGTTGTGGGTGGATTTCTGCCAGCCACAGTGTGTCACAAACATCCAGCCTATGTCTTGGAATAAGAAGGAGCTGAAGCCTCCATCAATCATTCCACCCCCCATTCTGTTTAGCTGGTTAGTGGGCATGGACGAGGGAGGGAGCTGGCGGTCATTTACCACTGTGTATACGCCTACGTGTGACTCTATAGTCACATGGGATGCTCAGATGTGATAGGGAGGAAATGCGCAGCATAGAAACTCACTGAAAATAGAGCATGTGCACCAGTTGCCTACAGCTGCTCTGCAAAATCCCCAACTGCAGTAGGGATATAGAAAGCAGACAGAACACCAGGGTCAACCAGTTTTTTTTTTTTTTTTTTGCAGAATACAGAAAACGAATCCCATAGCAAGTGGGTGAGTATGAATAACATGTAAAACAGCATTTATTGATAACTTTTAAATGTGGATTTAATGACACTAAGTATTTACATAGAGGGATTTAAACAAGCTCTTCCTGACCTCTATAGCTGCAGATACTGTGTGGCTTTCATCCTCAGATTTTACAGTAGAAAACACTAAAGTCATGCTCTCCAATAACTTAACTCACCTTGTTTTCTGCTCCCAGCAGGGATTTAACCGCCTACCAGCCTCCTAATGTTTCACATAAGTAGGGGAACTGGGGTAAATACATACATATTTGTTTTACTTGCCAAAAGGAGAATTTGGTACATTAAAATGTACCCATCTCTGAAGTACATGCCAAGCGACCACCATATTTTCAGGTTTAGACTTCAGAGTCAAATTTCTGCCTCATAAGTGGGGCATAAAAGTTTTATTTTTTTTCTTCTATTCCTGGCACAGGTTTACTTTAAGCAGACTTGTTTCCATAGTAAATAAAAACAAAAAACACACAAACACACAAAACACACACCATCAAACAGTTGATAAGCAAAATAGCTTTGCATTCAAGGCCTTGGTGTATATTAACCACGTGCCTACCGTGCGCTTATACCCCCTTCCTGCCCAGGCCAATTTTTCAACTTTCAGCGCTGTTGCACTTTGAGTGACAATTGCACAGTCATGCAACATTGTACCCATATGAAATTTTTATAATTTTTTTCACACAAATACAGCTTTTTTTTGGTGGTATGTACTCGCCACTGGGTGTTTGTTTTTTTGTTTATAGCACAAAAAATAAAACATTTAGAAAAAAAAAAGTTTCTTTTTATAATATAAACAAACTGGTAATTTTTCTCCTGCAATGATGTGCTTTGATGAGGCTGTACTGATAGGCAGCACTGACGGGTACTGATAGGCGGCACTGATGAGGTGGAACTGAGATGCAACAATGATGGGCACTAGTAGGTGGCACTGATATGCAACAATGATGGGCACTGATGGGTGACACTGACTGGCAGCACTGCTGGGCACCGATGATTAGTGCCGATCCCTCCTCTGACAATTGTGACAGCGTGAGGAAAGTGCAGCCGATAACCAGCAACTGCATTTACCAGTGAACTGTTGTGTCATTGGACACAGCTTATGTGGTAAAAGGCCGCTGTGTTTTGCCTTTTACCACATCACATGATTACCTGTGCCCGTAGGACACAGCAATCACTGAGATCACCAGTTGCACGCCCCTGGGGGCGCATGGGAGGGCGCGTTCTGGGAGAACGTCATATGACGCCCTCCCAGAACTGGCTGGCCGCAGTGAAGCCGTCATTTGGCTATCTGCGGCCGGCAAGTGGTTAAACAGTCGTGTGCAGAAATCAAAAAACACACAAGACTGTATAAGCAGCAACATTCAAGACTGTATAAAGCAGCAAACAAAACTCTGTAAGGTCAATGCAATAGGATGTACAGGTTTGCCTTTTTTTATTTATTTATTTTTTTTAATCTTTCAAAACATTTCTAATTTAGGATTTCAATTCAAGTTTCAAAACCCGTCAGGATTTTATGATTGTCTGTGTCCCCACCAGGAAGATTAGCCCAAATTTCTCTTGATGACTGCTTTCACCAGGACACAGAGAATCCAAAATGTTATACCTCTCATTAGAACAGGATGCAATGGGAAATTTTCTAATGGAAAAACCTGTTCTGGTGACAACTGCAAAGGGGGTATTCCCTTTGTTTTGGAAATATTTCTTCACCATGTGCTTTGCATCGATGTGCCATTAATTTAGAAGTAGCTAGCAAAAACCCTGCGGTACAATTGTGCATTGCCAAAAATGAAGCAGGTCACAGTTTCTGGTGTGAGTGAGCTTCCAGCACATTTAAAAACAGGGGCAACTTACCTTAGCATACAAAATGTGTGCTTTACAGTGTGTCTTATGGAAAGTGTGAAGGGACCCCTTAAAGTGGTTGTCAAGACAAAGTTTTTTTTTTTTTTACCTCTAAAGGTTTAAATATATATTTGAAATAACAAACATGTCTATACTTACCTGCTGTGTGTACTGGTTTTGCCCAGAGCAATCGGGATCCCCCTCTTCTCGGGTCCCCCGCCGGAGCTCCTGTGGGGTGCCCCCACAGCAAGCAGCTTGCTATGTGGGCACCCACTGCTCCATGTGTCCATTCATACACAGAGCCACGACTCAGCCAATGGCTCCCGCTGCTCTCCCAGCCAATGAGGAGAGGGAGCCCCGGGA